GGGCACTTAATAAAAAAGATTTCTTATGATAGTTACTGTTCTTGCTGGGACTCGGACCGTGCTACTCAAAAATATGGGGCCTTGGTGACTTAACAGAGGCGCAGAAGCAAAAAGGTCATGGTGACCTTCCCTTGCCTTGCTCCCCTGCAGCGTGCATGGCCTTAAAGGGATTCACTGACATACCTCACCTGAATGTAGGTCATAAGACCTTCATTCTCACTCTACACCTGGAGACTAAGAAGAATCTAAACCATCAGGCCTTAAAAGTGTCTCCCACAGCCGCCCCATTATTCTCAGTCTGCCATACTCCCTTTTAGTCCAGGCATATTTCTATAAAAACCTATGCATACACAGCAATTCTCTGGGTTCTGGGTCTTCGTTTTTGAAGCCCATCTTTCACATAAAATGTTGATTAGATAATTTGATTACTTTTCTCTTGTTAATCTGCCTTTTGCTGTAAAGGTGTCAGCCATGGTCCTTGTAATGAGTGAAGAAGAGATACTACTTTTTCTCCCCTGTGTTCTCATGTAGGACATTTTCAGTGTCTGCAAAAAGCTATTCAGACCACTATACCCTCCTACGTTTTGTTGTTTGTAGGTCCTGAGAATTTCACCCAAATTAGAACATTTTACATACATACGTAGAACTGCTCTCATTGACCTTATTTAGGAATCCTCTGTATTTCACTGGATTTTATACATTGTTTTCCCATTTCTCTTTGGGGTGCTAGTTGAGTGGACATTACTAAACAGAAGCTGAAATTATTCATTCTAGATTCTTTAGTGTAAAATTTTGAAACTGATGGAACATTTGTGAACAAAAAAAAATTTCATAACCAATTAGTAACATTTTGAATAACGTCTCCTCCTGTTTTCCCCTTTGTTGCTGTCTTCCCTGCACACGTTTGGGACCAGATGGCTTTAGGATGTTTTTAGGCTGTTGAACAGACTGGACCACATTCTGTGCCTGGAGGGCTGTTATCCATGTGTAGGTGGTTCATGAAACAGAAGAGTGGACTAATACGTTGTGGTAAAACAATTTTATATTCAAGGTGAAAAACATGTGCTAATTTATTTGCATTCATTAAATTAACATTCTTCTAAGGAGACATTTCATTTGAAGGATTGGGCTATAGATCTTGCAAATGTGTTTCTTCTTATGCATGCTCAGGCTTTTGTAGAAATGCTTCCATTTTGATGAAATGGACAAAAGAATAGTGGTACTTGCATTCATTGCAAGAATTTCGTATAGGCTGGCATATCCTTATAGGCAGAAGGCTTTAGCATATTATATATGTCAAATTGGCTGTTCTCATTAGGTTAAGGGAAAAAACAACAATTATGTAAAAGTCATTGTTGCATGTGAAATATTACTTCAGGATGCTTGTTGGCTTTGAAGTGGTGTCTATACCTTTGCTCTTAAGAGATCATGTTTTTCAGACTGAAACTTTACATGTATTTAATATATGTAGCAGACATGTCAGGGCAGAGGGACGTTTTGTATATGAATTTAATTAAGCATCAGGCCACTTTGGGACTTGTTTTATAGAGCAATTTGTTTCATGTGAGTTCAACTGCCCAAGCTACCGTACAATAATGGTCCCATAAAATTATTCTCCAGAGGGCCTTATTTCTACCATAATGTGCTTTTACTTAAAATTTAGTTTAATAGCACCATTTTTCATGTATACCAACCATATAGGAGTAATAGCTATCAGAAAATCTAATGGTTAAAGAGCTCTTCCTGGTTTTCTGTATTTATAGTTGGGAATTTTTCATTCAAAGATGAAAAAATGAGAAGAGAGGGAACATTTATATATCACATTAGTAATAATCTTTGAATTTGCTATATGTATGTGTATATATATATATATATATATATATAATGACATTTGGAACTCCTGTAAATCACTTGTATCTATTTTTGTCCTCACCAGGTACATTTCATACATATGCTTGATCCCAGGTTAATGTTATTGGAAGTAATGTACCATTTGCAGCACTATGTGCCAGAAGAGTGGTTCCTCACTGGCACCACAATAATTAATGGAGACATAATTCCAGTGTTTATAGTAAGGCTTCTCAAGTTTTAAGAAAGCAGATATGTCAGTACAGGTTGATAAGGTATTTGCAATTTATAAAAGTGTGTGCTGGATATATTTTCAGTCTATGAGTTTTGATATGCAAGAAATCTTGCCTTTCTATTCCTATATATTTTTTCAAGTCAACATAGTTTCTTCTTTGAACAAGACTCTGTTAGATCTGTTCAGTAGTGCCCATTGAGCCCTATGCTTAGAAGACTAAATGTTGTTAGTATAGGTATGCACCAAGTTTAAAGAACACAAACATCTTTTCCTATCAGATAGAAGTTAGCAGTCAGCTCTTGTATTCCTCTAGTCCCTTCTTCTGACTGATGTCACGTGCACTGCAGGGTAATATTTGTCTTCATTTCCAAACACTGGAGAGGCTGTGGGTTGTGCCACCGTGACACTGGAAATGCAGGCACTGCTTTAGAGTGAAAGGAGGGTTGGAGCCAGTAAGGGGTTTCTTAGGAGAGAGGGAGATGAATCCTCTGTCAGACGCTTCTCACAGAGCACAAACACAAATGAATCTTACAAAATACAGTGTCATTTCCCAGTAGTGCCACACACCTGTTTTGTGTGTTCTTGTTTGTGTTTCCAAAGGTAATCACACATATAGATAGTGTTCACAATATGTGGCAAAGCTTGAACTATTTTATAGCATTAGATAAATCATATTTCTGTTGGGTTTGTATTTATATAAATTTAGACAAAACTTAGACAAAACATGATACTGCTGCTTTAGTTTGTCATCAAGATATCAAATGCATAATGACAAATTAATTTATAAAAATGTCATAATTCAATTTTTAAGAAATAAAAATTTCATATGGATCTAAATATTTTTACTTCAAATTGATATTTCTAATTGCTTGAAAGTTTATTTGAAAGGCAGGGAGAGCAAATAGACCTCACATCTGCTGGGACTCCCCAGGTGCCCAGGAGTTAGGAACTCAATCTGGATCTCCCATGTGGGTGCTACAGTCCAGCTACTTCAGCCACCTGCTGCCTCTCAGGGTGTGCGTGAGCAGGGAGCTGGAACCAGGAGCAGAACTGGAAGTCAAAGCCAAGGCCCTCTGCTGTGGGGTGCATAAGTCCCAAGGCACTCCAATACGGGAGGTGGACATTCTAAGTGGCGTCTTAATCACCGAGTCAACTGCCTTTCTTACTAATCACATTTTAATTGATAATTTTGAATATTTAAAACATAATTTTCTGGTGAGCACATGAAAAATATCTTTACAATATCCTATGAGTCAAAAATATAATCAGATTTCATGTACTTGGAATTCAGTTTATTTTTTAGTCATTTGAGTCACTGAGGATAAATACAAGTTAAGATTCTGATAGAAACTATGAAAATAGATTTTAAGCATAGTATTCTATTTTTTTAGTATTCAATATATTTTTAGTATTCAAGGACACAGAAACTAAACTTATTCTTTACTTTTTATGGAATGTTAGTCTGGTGGAAGGTGGGTGTTAAAAAATGGGACTCCAGAGATTTGATACTTTTCTTGAAAATTTGGCACTGAAACAAGGAGATGACAAAGATAATTAATGCATACACAAATGTAATTAGTGATTTTAGGAAAAATAAAATCATATACATAAATAACTGTACAAAAGAAAAATCTAATCATAGCCACTATATGTTTGTGTATTAAGCAAACCTCCAGAAATAACCACTGATTAATTTTCAGTGTGTAGAATCTGCCCATAGGTAAAACAATGAAAGTTTGATTATAATCACAACCAACTCTAAATACTGTCAACATCAGAAATATAAAAAAAAATAGAGATGACCAAAATTAGAAGCAAGATTGGTAGGATGGATAAGTAAGTCAAGGGATTTTTCTTTCTTTCTTTTTTTTTTTTTTTAAAGATTTTATTTATTTATTTATTTGACAGGTAGACTTACAGATAGTGAGAGAGACAGAGAGAGAGAAAGGTTTTCCTTCCCTTGGTTCACTCCCCAATGGCCGCCGTGGCTGGCGCTGTGCCGATCTGAAGCCAGGAGTCTGGTGCTTCCTCCTGGTCTCCCATGTGGTTGCAGGGGCCCAAGCACTTGGGCCATCCTCCCCTGCCCTCCTGGGCCACAGCAGAGAGCTGGACTGGAAGAGGAGCAGCTGAGACTAGAACCTAGTGCCCATATGGGATGCTGGCGCTGCTGGCGGAGGATTAATCTAGTGCGCCTCGGCACAGGCACCCAAGGGATTTTTCTTGTACAAAAAAAGTCATACTCTTTTTGTACAAGAGCAATTAACTGAATTCCTTGAAACAAATAATAAAAATGTAAGCAGAGCATTTAGTTAAAAACTAAGCAAATAGAGGGACTAATACTATGACCATACTGAAGGGAGAGAAAAGTGACAAATAGTGGCATTAGCTTAAATGTTCTGTCTCACATAGTTCAATAGGAAGGCAATGAATAAAGGCTACATTTGGAAACCACCCCCAAAATTATTGAATGAATATTATTCATAAATATGGATCACAGGGAAAACTTAAGTCAGTAACACTAAAAATTGTGCATTCTGTTACAAAACAGAGTGGGGAAGGAAGAAGGAGAATTAATGATTTTAATTGTAAATCCTTTTTTACATTCTGTTTTTATACAAATAAGGGCATTAATAAACAGGGATTTTAGCTTCATAACAAAACCAATTGAAATAAATCTTAGCAGACTTCATTACAGTTTTGCTTTTCATGTGAGCTGCTTTTAGTTATCTGATTTTGAAATTCCTATCTGAACTTGTGTATTTGCATAACATGTAGGGACTATTTGGTTTTTCTGGTTCTTACTTCCCATATGTATATAAGTGTAGTTCTTTCTGCGGAATATTATTGGTAAGTTTTGATAGCTTGTGAGAATGGTATAAATGGTATGCAAATCAAATACCTTTCTGTTTTGTTCCAGATTTCTCCGAATTGTGAAGGTCATCAGGAGTATGCTCCCTTTCATGTTAATATGGATTTATTATTGAAAACACTTGAAGTTTTCTTTTCACATGGCATATCATGTGGTCTTCTTGAGGTATGCTAAAGAAATGTAGTGGCACACTCTATCTTATATAGAGTTGGACTGTAAAACTAGACTATTAGATTTTGCACACCATTATGCAGAATTCTTCTTTTATCAGAATGGCTAATATCAGAGTACATTTGAAAGGAGAAAAAAGTTCACATCTGCAAATGTAGCATGCTCTGGTGGCTATTAGGCTTGCCAGTTTGATTCTAGCCAAGATGTCATTGTGAAAAAGAGAAGGCTTTGGGAGGCAGCGATTCTCAGGGTTACTCTTCTATGCTAACTCTTCTCGCCACCATTTTTCACGTTACCTTCAGATTGGAGCAATTTCACCCTGAGTAGTGAGAATGTAAAAATCTCATTTCCCTCCCCCATGCCTCCGGCAGAAAACCGTGAATGTTCTTTGCTGCAGTTGTTTTTACTTTGGATTCCTGTCTGTCAGAGGTTTGTGTGAATAGGTTTGAAAGACTTTGTCTAGTTCTGGTAGGAGATATGAAAACGTTCCCCAAAAAATGTCATTAGGGTATCCTTGTGCATTATGTAATTGAGATGCAATTTGATTATCCTTACTCTAAATAGGGAATGGAATCTGTTTATATTTTATTAAGCAAGTTAGTTGGTTGGGTACTTCCCTAGACCAAGATGAAAACAGGTATGTCTGCTTTTATTAATATTTATCCCCAAAATAACAACTCCAACAGAGAAATGCACAGAGACTTGAAAATAGTTCTCTAAGTGAATGTAGACAGCTTTCTTCTGTGGTCTCATCTGTTTCATGTGCCCTCATTGCAATCCCCCTCTGGACTTAACCTGGGATCTTCAAGCTTCAAGGATGCAAATACTTCAAGTGTTTCACGATTCTTCTAGAGGTAAGACTAGATGACATAACAGTCGACATTTATTTCTCACAGTTCTGGAGGCTGGGATGTCCAAGATCAGGGTGCTGGCAGATTCCTGATGCGGGTCCCTTATCTGACTTGTAGATAGTAGGCTACCTTCCGGTTGCATCCTCACATATCAGAACGGGACAGATGGAAGGGATCATTCCTGAGATATCTCCGCTATCTCATGTATGTGAGAGAGAGAGAGCGAGCGAGAGAGCGAGCAAGCGAGCATGGGAGAGTGCACACGGGGAAGTCATTTCTCCTCTTATAAGGATACTAACTGTGTCATGAGAGTCCCATCCTCTTGACCTCATCCAAACCTAATTGCCTCCTAGAGCCCCACCTCCAAATATAACAATGAGATTTAATTCTTCAACATATGAACTTTAGGGAGCGGCAAATAGAGCATTCAACTTAGCATTCTGTCTCCATCCCCCAAATTTCATGTCCTTCTTGCATGTAAAACACAGGAATTGCATGCCCACAGCTCCCAAATTCTTAACTCATTTCAATAATAACCTTAAAGTTCAAAATCTCATTTAAATATTATCTAAATCAGATAGAGGTGACTTGAGATTCATTTTAGCCTGAGGCGAAAGTTTCTCTCCAGCTGTAAATCTGTGCAAACAGGTAAGTTGTGTTTCCAAAATACAGCAGTCTGCAGGATAAACGTTCCTATTACAAAAGCGAGAATTTTGAAGGATATTTAAAGGAATAATAACCCCAAACAAGTTCAAAAATTAGCACCAGGGTGTCTGCCATCCCATTAGATCTCAAGATAGTGGCCCCACCTTCTGGGTCCTCTGAGGTGACAGTGGCACCACTCCCAGCATTGAGAGGGACTGTTTTGCTCCATGAGCACTGCCTTGTCAGCTCTCCTGGCGGCCTCACCCGAGCAGCCTGCTCAGTGGCAGTCTCACTCCTCCCAACAAGCTGGAGGCAGCTTTTCCCCTGGGCCCACACCCCCTGGGCCTTAGGTGGGAAGAGGAGTGCTGATGACCCCTGGGTGTTTGGAGTCCTTGTATTTTAAAGAATAGCTCGCACTTTCTGCCTCCTTTCTTTCTGTCCCAGTTTCTCTGTTTTCCTTAATCCCAGCTGGCAGTGTTTCTAATAGTACAGTCCCATCTATATTTCACGCTTCTGTTGAGATGGCTGATGAGGCCTGTGGTTTTCCCACCCACACTGATTTCACTATCAAATTGTTGGTTACCCAGCCCCGTGGTGCTGCCTTCCAAACACGTGTTGTCAGTTTTTGAGAATCTTCCAAATCTGGTTCTTCTTTGCTTAACAACAATCCTTTCATTTATTCATTTCTGGCTTTTTGTATTTTACTAACATCAGATTGGAACCTTGCCACTTTTCAACCCTTTGCTTAGAAATCTCCCCAGCTAAGCCTCCTATCTCATCACTTACAAGTTCTATCTTCCAAAAAAATGCTTAGACTAAAGCTCAGTTTTTTCCCCACTTTATAGCATGGATTGCCTGTCCTGCATTCTCCAGAGACATGCTCCTCATTTCCACTTGGCACCTCACCAGAATCACCTTTCTGGTTCACACGTCAAGCGTACACCTCAAAACTCAGCCCCTTATCCATTGCTCAGTCTCAACACCATTTCCCAATGTTTAGGCATTTATTCTGCCAACTCCTTGTACCAAATTCTGTACTAGTTAGGGCTCTCCAGAGAAATAGAATCAGTCAGATATTTGAGAAAGAGATGAATAAAACTTGTGGGGAGAGGAGATAACTTGTTAGTTATCGACTTGCAGGATTATGGAGACTAAGATCTCCACCGTCTTTGGCCAGTGGGAGAACCAGAAGAGCCAGTGGTGTATTCTCTCCAAGTCTGAAGCTCTCTATACCAGCTCTGACTCTAAACTTCTATGAAATATGCCAAGCTTGAGCAGTTGGTATTGCACCAACAGCCACAGAAAACCATGGATGCTTTAAGAGCCACAAAAATACATCAGCTTAATAATAACTGCTAAGCTTTTCTAGGACTATTTTTAGGTATCTGTAACCTTCATTACCTTTCCCTTCAGAACATCAGTCTCTGAAACAGCAGCACAATGGCTTTGTGAAGATTTGTTTCTAGGATTAAATGGTAAAGGCTCTTCTCCCCTGAGCGTGTTTGAAAATTGCCCCATAGCATCTAAATATGTGTCCATATTAAACCACACAAATGTCAGAAAAAGCTCTCTGTTCCCAAAGCAGGAGGGATATTTAACTGCTTTGTATGTACCACGAGATAAAAAGGAGTGCTTTCAGGAGTACATTTTTAAAATAAACTTTATCTCCCATATCGTTAAATGTATTATGAAAAAGTTAATAATTAACCAATTTAATCATTGATTTTGATTAATTAATTGTACTAAGGATATACTCATATATTGATTTAAAGAAACAAAGAGAGTATTTATTTCAAAGCAAAACAAAACAGTATGTGCTGGATATAGGTATGGAACATTTGGGATGTTAACAATTACAGAGTAGTTGTGAAAATCCTATACAACATACGACATGCTTAGTCCAATTTTAGTACAGCTGTTTTCTAAGGACGGTTGGACTTTGTGTCTGCTGTTCCCTCTTTGACCTTGGGCTTTGCTGTGAAGGTATTCAGTAACAGCTCCTGTGCGATGGGAAAACTACCTGATTTGGCAAGTGTGTGCTTTATGAAATGTGATATGGCATCAATCATCATTAACCCAAATATCCCCATCACACGCAGGACCTGACCCCATCACATCTGGTTTCCTGTTGGAAAATCCTTCACTTTGGGGGGGTTTTGCTGATAACAATGCTCAGAATGGTCTCTAGGCAATGGGAACTGACAGAAGATGAATTATCTGTCACTCAGGAAGATGCCCTGACCAGGGAAACAATCAAGTACAACTGTCTGTTATTATTATTTTTTCCCCTTGGCTTTCTTTATTTCTTAGATTAGCTTCCAGCTCAGCATCTGCTTTAAAAGCCTATTGAAAAATCTCAGGAGAAAATATCAAGTAGGGAATTCCCAGCAAAATTATTCTTAATTGATGGCAAATGCAATCTTTTTCTCTTTTTGCCCAAATAACACTTTGATCAGAATACCTTAATTTTTCCAAAAGAGCTCTTAAAATTACTTGTATGCTATGTGTGTGTATCTTTAGCATAAGGATTTTTAAATTAGATATTGAATGTCTGGTCAGAAATTTCTATTTTTATTCTTCTGAAAAGTCTTGGGTAATTAGTGATGTGATTTCAGTAACTTCATTGGCTATGTATTAGATGCAAAATATTTTGTTATTCAGAATAGATCAAAAGGGTTATTTTCCTTACTAAGTACAGATTCTAGGCTTTTATATAAAGAAAGTATGGTATCTGAGTACTGCTTCCTTTTAATCATGAACAAAGTAGGTCCAGCACTGTGGCATAACATGTAAAGCTGTTGCCTGTGATGTCAGCGTCCCATATGGGCGTTTCCCATCCAGCTCCCTGCTAATGGACTAGGAAAAGCAGAGGAAGATGGGCCAAGTGTCCGTCTTCCAACCCTGATGAAGTTCCTGATTCCTGGCCTTACCTGGTCATTGCAGCCATCTGGGGAGTGAACCAGGGGTTCGAACATGTCTGTGTTTCTCTCTTTCTCTCTGTTCCTCTTAAGTAAATAAATAAATAATAAAAAAGAACAGACAAAGCAGCAGCACAATGAGCACAAAATATCCCAATTCGCTTTTTGACAATTCAAGATGTTTTGGGACCCTTTGAAATGAAGAGGAACTAGGTGATGGGAGTTAGCTTTATGATGGGTAAAAGGATCATATCAAGTGATTGTACAATTTTCTCTGTGCATGAGCAAGGAAAACCATCTGAAAATTGCAGTTACTAGGTAGGGGGAGAGTTAAAGGGATCTTGATATATTTAGAGAATAGTCGGAGGAAATATTTCTTAAGGACATTTATGTCTAGATTATGATGGTAAACTCAGTTGCCAATAGGGGCCAAGCAGGTAACATAATTTATTTGGTGGCAGGGTGCCTGGTCAAGTTTTATTTGCATCTTATAAATACTACAATAGCATTATAACTACATGTAACCATATGAATAAATCTTACAAACAAGATGTTAAGTAAAAGAAATTAGATATTTAAG